AGTGGTGTAGTATCAGCTATTGGCAATGGTAGTGAGGGATGGTTACAAAAAGTAGATACCATTTTGCATGTGACAGGAGTCAGAACTTCAGATCCACTGAAAACCGTTTATTACTAAGTTCATTTGGACTAAATACTGGGAATAGGAGTTTAAATACTTGTATGCATTTGGTTCTATTAGTAAGTATGCACATACAAGAAACTGTTGAAACAAACCTAAGGCAGTTGTGAGTTCATTCTATATTGGAAATACTGGTCTTAATAAAAAAAAAAAAAAAAAAAAAAAAAGTTAGCTACTGCTAAGACCTTGCTTTGTCAATAAAGTTATTTGGAGCAGATTAGCACTTGTCAGAAGATGCTTGCAGTTTCAAGGTCAACAACTAACTGGCTAACAGGGCTACATCAATTAACATAGTTAGAACTTATTCCATTATTTCAGAGAAGCTACAAACTGGGCTGGCTTCATTTCAGGAAGAAAGAACCAAAGTGTAAGTTTCAAGTGAAAACAGAGATTGTAGTGTATACAGGTATAAAACAGGTTAGTCCTTGCATCATCGTTTTGCAAGAATTTCTGAGAACAGTGAATAAGGTTCAGAACAAGAACAAAACTCTCATTTGGCTTTTGCTTTAATGTAATCCTAAGGAAACAGAGACTTGACTTTTTGCAGTGCAACAATCATAGTAAGGGTTGGTGCCTCCCAGCCGTATGGGTACTTACAGTTTCTAAAACTGCAGCCACAGAAGCCAAAGTCTTTCTCTTAGTTAAGAAAGCAGTAATGTTTGCTGTTGCCTTGGTGGAGTCTGGAGCAAACATTCTGTCCCTTCACTTTAAGAGGAGATGTAACATAAAGGAAAAGAAAACAACCAATAAAGAAGCACAGAAGTTGGTTTATATCCCAGAAGATCTCCCAAATTGGACATAAAATTTGTGCTTACAACCAGTTGATGATAAAAGATTCCTGGATTCTGTAGATAAAAATGGGGGCTGGAAGGAATGTCATCATTTTATCGGTATCGACAGATTGAAGAAATATGTTTTCATCCTCTCCTTTTGCATTCACGCCTGATGATCACCTCAGTGTGATTTATGATGCCAAGAATCCATGTCATCCTGTCTTAAATAAGAACCACTTTCTCCTTTGTGCTCTTTTCCACGTCACTCACTGCAACTCTGCCATCATCACAGGAACAGTTTCAGCATGTAGTTGGGTTAATAGTTGAATTTGTTACTTCAGGAATGAACAAAAAGTTGCTAGAAATGTGTAGAGTCTATACGTAAACAGTCAGAAAACAGACCTAAAGTCACTTCTTCATTTGCAGTTATTCCTCCTTGAGTTCTCTGAGCCTGATCTTCTCGGGTCTGAAAAGTAACTAATGGCTTTAAGTGCTTTAACAGAGCATTGGCAGAACAGGAGGAGTTTGGGCCATACACACAATCTCAGCACATCAAATTCTGCAGCCCTTTGTGTTGCTGTAAATGTTGAGTGACTTGAATGTAGGTAGCAGTTTGTTTAGATTTATATCCATGCAACAGTGAGACTTGGTACAGCCTGTGGATTATTTAGCTTCCTTTTACCTGAATTCTTTGCAGCTCTTCGACCTCCGTTAATTACAACTTTGCTTAGAGTTACAAGACTCTGTGATAATTCCATACTTTTACCTTTGGACTAAGATACATTGTTATGAATCAGGCAGAAAAAAAAATGCGTCACTCCACCTACATAGGACATTTTCTGGATATATGCAGATTAGCCTGTCAAATTACTCAGATTCCTGTTAAGCTGTGATGGCTTACTTCATTTGCTGCAGCCCATGAATATGAAACGAAAGGGTCAAGCTGTGTTAGCTTTGACTTTTTCTTTTCTGACTTTTTTGACTTCAACATTTAGTGCCTCTCAGTATTATCTGAAGACTGTCTGTGGGAGGTGTTCTCTTTAGCTTTCTTCCTATACTGAATCTCCATTACACTAATAATAACAAATATCTTTTTTACATTCACATAGCATTTTTCAGAGCAGTGCAAAATGCTGAATGGACCTCATATCACTTTAATTTGTCAGCCCTGGCTATATAGTTTCCTCATACTTATCAAAGATATTCTTACTTTTGAGTAAAAGAAGAGAACAGCAGAAATATCTGTTCAGTCGATACATGCTGATATTTTAAAATGGCAGTGACTGTAAACTGCTTTTCTAGAACTACCTATTAAATATCTATTGTTAAGAAATGAAATGCTGCAGTGTGCTTCAGGACAGAAGGGGTTAAGTAGAGTGCTATCTATCTTTCAAAAATAAGTTTTGGGGACAAAATATTCATATAACCTTACATTAGCAGCCGAGTTCTTCAGAAATAGCTGAATGCATATTTCCCAATACTTTTGCAGTGTCATGTTTCCCTCTGCTGTAAATGTATTTCTCAATAGTCTGCGAGCATGGCAGTAAAATTTATTGCTTGCCAATGACTATGCACTGGCTCTCTAATATTGGAGAATATTTTATACAATTACCTATGGTTAGTAGTACTTCTCACTTTAAACAGAATTGCTGAAGTCACTGTATTACTCAACATGAACAAATACATCACAATTGCTGCCTATGTCTTTTAAATACAAACGTGGTTAATAGCAATAAATTTGTATTCAACCATGTTTCTGTGTTCTAGGCTGGATAGATACATTGCTTACATGTAATGTAATCTCACAGCAGTCTTGTGCGTGCATATAGAGTCAGCATGATGTTGAAGAGGGGAAGTTTCTCATTTGACAGTATAAGGAGGTTGTGTTGATTTGATATCATAAAAAGAAAGACTATTACTGTCTGTGACACCTCCTTTTTGCTTTTTGGAGGTCTCACAACTGACATCTTTCCTTCCTCAGCTGAAGTTGGTCCTCGGACTTACATAGAGCTAACTTGCCTTGTGCTTCTGTGGGTATTTTTATTTGTGTAAAGTGAGTGTAAAATGGAGTGAAAATACAAATCACATCATAGCTGGAAAATCAGGCCACATTTTCTCGAGTAAAGGGAAGTAAATCTTGGTTCTCGTCAAAAGTATCTCCAGTAATTACTGCGTAGCAAGAGACCAGTAAATTGAAATTAAGCCTAACACTGATTCTTGGTACACTGTTCCTTCAGTAGACGAGTTACACCTCTGATGAATTAAGCATTAATCTGTGCTTCATCACAAAACAAATTAATTAATAAACTAAATTATATATTAAACGTTTGAATTTTAAAATTTATGATTGAGATTGTCTGTATTTGCTCTGCAATAATCTTTGCTCAAGGAAAAAATTAGAGATTAAGTTTTTCTATGTTTTTTAAAATTTCTTTTTTCTACAGGGACCTTTTCACGTAATAACCTGCTAGCTCTCAAACAGTAAATGTCCTGTAATCAGGCAAGACATTGCTTGGACTAAAGACATAAACAATATTATAGATTTAGTTATATATCCAAAGTGATTCAGTGTACATACTTTGGCCGCAATGCAGTGTAGTCTGTAGTTATGTATTTCATAAACTTCTGACTATTTTAATTAATTTAACATAAAGCTGAACAAAACCCAGAGTTTTCACTTTACAGACAAGTCTGCTACATTGAAATATATGAGTTGAATGGAATACATTTCTCTGAAAGGAAAGCCAGGGTAGAATGATGATTTTAAATCGATTGAAATATTTATTGTCTTCTAGCAGATTAAAATTTTTTGGAAGAGCTAAAAAATGAAAGTTGCTCCATTTCAGGGAAAGAAAACTGAATGTAACTTTTAAATAATTTTTTAAAAATGTATATAGAGGTAAAATGGGTGGTAGTATATGCATCATATTTTCTAGTAGCAATAAGAATTTTCGTTTGACTAATCATACTGTTCCAATCTGTAATGAAATATATTTTCCTTATCAAAATGTTTTTGTAATAGTATGCCTGTAAGATGAAAGTGATTTCACAAGAGATGTGCTATGAAATTTGTTGTATTCCCACTTTTCGTTTTGATGACGTGACATTTGCTAGCAAAAAATGATGCATCAGAACAAACTAGGCTAACTTCCATTATATAATTTAAGCTAGGTTGTGATCTCCTGCCTTACATTGGCCCTCAGTGTAAACAGAAGTAACCCAGAAATTGCTAAACTTGCACAGTTTGTTTTCCAGAGGATTTTTGATCATTTACAACATTGCAATTTGTTATCTTGTCCCTCTCTCTATTGCCATCATAGAGTGGTCAATGTCTGCACGTCCTGTATATTCAAGTACCTTCGCGTAACTGTGAATTTTACTGTATTAATATAGAAAATGAAGACTTACATTGCTTATAGGTTATTTATACAATGCTATACAAAATCTCCAAGACAAAATATGTGGTATGTTAACTTCTACATGACAGAAAATTGAGGCATTGCTATTTTAATATTTTCTTCAAAGCCAGCGGTCAAGCAGATGAAGATGACAAACCCACATTCTCGGACAAACCCATGGTCTTTCCAAAGCCTAAATCTAAGGTCTGCTTAGATTTAGAAGGCAAGTTCCCTATGAAAATGGATTGATACTGAAAATAGATTAATTTCACCAAATATTAAAGACATAAAAGACAGGTGATTGGTGTAAATTAACTTCAGAACAAACACTTCTGGATGGGTGTTTTTCTTAATTTATCATGCACAGCCATCTTAAGATGAGATGAGTCATTCTCTGACATGCCCCTTTCTCTCCTCACACACTACAGTGAAAGCTAAGCTTCAATTAGAGAGCTAACCTTAGGTGGATAAAACCGGTGGAGATAATATCCACATACAGGAATTCAAGGCTTTTTGCTTCTTCTGCCCAGAAACTTATTCTTCAGCTTTTAGGGTGTAAGGAGAGAGTAGAAAGACTAGAGCCAGAAAGAAGGAGGAATAAATGAGCACCACACTCTTCCTAGTCACAATTCCTGGTTACCTTGTTGAGTTAGCCTCCTTTTACATGCTGGTAAGCAATCAAATGAAAGCTCAAAATGCTTTACCATACCTGATTGTGGACTTTGTTTGGGGATTTTGGCTGCTGCTTCAGGGCTGGAGGTGGTACGCACACGCTGATTGGCAGAGTTATGGATGCTACTTGGAACAGCTGCTGAGATGTTTTTGCGAGGTTTCATGTCTTGCAACCACATTGGAGATGCCTCAAAGGCTTGCATTCGCCGAGAGTGGCTGTTAGCATTAACTTTGAGAAATGCCTGGGCCTTGTATTCCTGAAGGTCTCCATAGTTGGCATCGGTCACCCTGCACTCGTACAAGCCTTCATCCTTTTTCCTCACTTTCGAAATCTGCAGCTTGTGGGAGATGTCATTCCCTTGTACTTTCACTGTCTGCAAATTTGCCAGAAAAAAACAAACGAACAAACAAACATGTTTTCAGATATTATTCTTTCTCTGGGAAGACTCTAGCGATGTAGAGCCTGTCCAGAGAAGTCAAGTGCCAAATTAATCAGCGGTGTGACTGTGCTTGCTGCAGGGAAGTTGTATCAAGGATGAGTATGATTATTTTTATCTGTAAGGGTGTCTGACATCTTCTTTCCAAAAGTGTTTAGGTGGTTTGCTCTGACATGCTAATTGGCCTCAGACAACAAACTACCATACTCATTCCAATTAATTGCTTAAGATCACAAACATTCTTAATGAGCTTTCTTACATAAACCTAATATCTGTGCACTTCATTGGTAAAACCTTTCCAGCTAGTTGGCTTTATTGAATAAGTCAGTTTTTGAACTAATGCATTAAAAATTTTGTTGGAGATATTTGTTAATATTTAAACTTCTTTAATAACAGTTTATTAGATTAGCTTGTAATCTTCACTGCATTGAATCTACATATACTTCAATTTGTCTCTTTCAGGCATGTCCAAACTTTTGATAGTTTTTGTTTATTTACTGTGACAACACATCTTGTGTCAAGTAGTTCCTTTCGTCTCATTTATACAAGTATGTACTTACTAGGAGTCATATATCATTTCTGTAGCACATATTCAAGATCATTTTAAAAGTTGTCAGTTAAAATAAGACTCCTGATTTATTTTTAATTGCTTTTAATATCTAAGGGTAACATAACATTTTTAATTAAAACACACATGAGTAAATTATGCATCCAGAAATATGTGATAGGTATTAAGATGCATTAGGAAAGGTCACACAGATTCCTTTCATGTTCACCACTTTAGAGAATTAACGTTGAATTATTGTTATTGGCTGTTATTCTCTATCTGGATTAACATCTGTTGCCCCACGCAAGTTAAAGGGATTCAGTGGGACAGAAAATTTTAGCTTTGAAGAACTCCTGAACCTGGTTTATTTCCTCTGTTACATAAACATGGATGCAAATGTTGCTTTGTGTCATAGCGATGACGAACAATGAGGAAACATCAAGGTGCTGAAAACATGGTAGATCACAAAAATGAAGAACTGTTAGATTGAAACTAGGCACATGTTACTAGCGATTATACAACGCATTGCTTCTGATAGCTTGGCATGCTGTAGTCACCAGTGTTGGCAAAGCACCTATTCTGCCTGCTTGATAAATTGAAGAGCAGTACTTGTGAATACATTATTGCTTTAAGGTACTGGACAGACTTTACAGCCTATTGTGTTGTATCCAGCTCTGAATTTATACTTGGCAGACTGAGTTGAAAGTATGGATTGCATACTTTCAGGCATAATGTATGCAATATTAATTACACAGACAGTGCTGGATAGTCATTTAAACCATATTCAATAACAATATATCTCTACCAAACAGCTCATATTCAGCAAAAAGGATTAAAGAAGTTTCATATGAGTGGAAAGAGGACCTGTAGATCATATTCTGCCTTCATTTGCTCCCATGCAATATCTGTAAAGTTAACAGTGTTGCACAGAATTAGTGAAAAACAGAATTTGTTTGTGGTGTTGCATTTGAAATTTAGAAATTTTCATAGTCACGATGTATGCATGTTTTCAATTTATACTTGATTATAATTTAAAACCAATAGAAGTGGTGTATTTCAGTACAGTTTAAAAACATGTCTATATATTTTACTACTTAAAGAATTTACTAAATGCACTTAAAGGTTTGCTCTCCTCTTCAAGATACTTCCTACTAGTTCTAATGGAGACTATTGTGTGCCTTCAAGAAATAGAAAAAGGAAGGCTACATTTGTAACAAGAGTATTTAGACTGCAAACCTAATGTTGACTTTTTTTATTGCAAATATAAAATGTTTTATGCAAGCTTATAAAAACTCTGTATAAATAACCCATCATGAATTATTAACATACATAATGAGAGAAAAAGGTTTTTAACTTGAAAGATGGGACAAGCTTTAGAGCCTATAGTCGTCACAGAACTTATGGGTTACTACGGGGATTTTGAATGAGCCAGTATTGATAAGGAATAAATTGGCTGCTAGCACTATGTCTAGTGGAATAGTATCCAAAGGCCACATGTGGGCCTCATTTGTAAGATAGTCTATAAATGTAACTGAAGACATAGTCCTTGACACAAATCATTTATGGTGAGGAATATGATAGGAAATGTAAGTATGGCTAGAATAGGTATAATTTTGAATATAATCTATCTGAATTGTCATTTATAAATGCCCTTCAGCTATACCTAGTTGCACTTTGACCTGATGTAATTACTTGGTTAGCTGTTTGTAGGCATCAAAGAGCAGCAGAGTGAAGGATTTAATAGAAATGATTCATGTCTGTCTGTTACTGTTCTAAGCCTTGCTGGTACTTACAGTCTTGGCTGCAGCTAAAAGGCACTTTCCAAGGGACTGTGTCTGAGAAAGGGAAAACACATTTGGGCTCATAAGGAATACCCACGATGCAGTATCTGCTAAGTATCTGTGTCTTTCCGCTGCAGTGAGCACCACACCATGACCCCTCCACCACACATTTCTTGGGACACTGAGGGAGGAGGGTCTGAAGTCTTCTGAAGTCAGGGACTGCGGCTATGCCTGACTCAGGATATGGGGCTGCTCAGGAAGGCATCCTTTCCCTGCACAAGGGCTGGAGGATGTGGCTTATAACTTTGTTGAGACACACTCTGGTTTAATCTCCAAATGGCAGATTGAGTAACTTTGGTGTCAGAACCTCATTTTCCTAATAAAGAGTCTCAGTGGCCAAGAGCGGAGATTACTCCCAACAGGGAGGTCTTGTCCAAAGACTTTCCAGGTATTTTTTCTGCCAGTGGATATGAACCTGGGAAAGGACTCATTTAAACAGCCGAACACCCCACTGAAGGAAAGCACAGCTTCACGGCCAAATTTCATCCTTAGAACCAGCTTTGGAGCGCTAAGGCAGCCTCAGCTGTTGCCCAGGTTAAAGGAAAACCAGAGGTACAAGGATGGGTGCAGGTCACCTGCTTCACGGGGTGGAAACAGAGGCTGCGAAAGGTCTAGCTGCCTGGGCCTCGCTTGCTGATGCTTTCGTGCCCAAGGGGTCCCCAGGGGTGCGGGCTGCGCGGGG